AGATCAGAGCATACACACAGAATACCTGCTCTTCTGCAGATGCGCACCTTCTCTATAAATTTGAAGCAGGGCTGCAATACTAGACATTGAGGGAACAACCAGTATAACCTTTGTCAGACATAAACAACAGTATTGATCAGGGGTCAATTCTTAAGTCTTTGGGTCTTATCATTAGATACTGCATGCAACAGGAGAACAGAGCCAAGTTACTTACTCACTGAGCTGTAAAAAGCTCAATGGGAAAAACAGGTAGCAGGGCAGAGTCCATAATTGGAACCTTGTGCAACAGAGAAGCAGATGTAGCAACACTCAGGGTCACACATGCAAGTGTGAACCTCAGAGACATGTTCTCATGCTGATACAAAAATGTATGTGCACCTTTATAGGCATTTATTTTTACATGGCAATTCTGAATAATTACTATGAAAGGAATACTATGCAGCAGATCTTGTGCACTGAATGCAAGAGGGGGTTTTGTGCAAACACAGTGTGTGATTGTGCAATTAAAATCTTTAGCAGTGCAGAGGCAGAAGTGGATTCTACGGCCTATCTTCATTCCAGCTGTAGCTAACGCTAAAATTCTTACCTGCAAAATAGTAACACATTGTGGGGGTAATGAACTATAATAGAAGGCTGAAAATCTGTAACTGAAATACTCACTAATCATTTATTAATATGGTTCCACGAATAACATCATCATAGAGATAATACCCAATCTGATGACACAGAAAAGACCTTCTGCTTCAAATCCAAATTCAAATTTCCACTATTATCTTGGTTTCCTGACTTCCAAACCACCTTTTGGGACTATCTATTGCTTATAGGGAGTTTGATATCAACAGCAAAGCTCCCTATTGTAAGGACTTTGTTCACACCTGTTCCTTTCAGGTGTCAACACTGAACCCTGCCTCTAGCTCCATACTGGGACTGACAGAATCACAGGAACATTGCTCAAAAGGGACCTTTGGAGATCTTTAGTCCAACCTACCACTCCCTACCACTCACCACCACTAGATCTGGTCAGCCATAACTGTCTAGCCAAGTCTTGAAAACACCTAAGGATGGATTCTCTGCCACCTCTTGTGTTCCTGCTTGCTGTATTTATACTTCTGTATTATGCTTTTGTGTGTTACTGAAAAACAAATTAACCCCCTCTCGAAAATGGCTTCATCTTTGGGAAGGCTTAGCAGCCAAAAGTATATTAGATATACATATAAAGTATTCTATTATATAGAATTATTATATGGAATTATTTTGGTTATTCTGTCTGCCAGTTTGACTTTTCTCATAGCAGTACAGAATAAATCAGGGTGTTTAAAAGCACTTTCCAACCAGAAGCTTTCCAATTTATAATAAATGCTATTGAGGAACCAGAGTCTTTGGTTTACATTCATAGCAACTATGGCTATTCTCTACACAAGATTGCTTCCAGGTTGGTGAATATGTTCTGGCCATGTCCTGGGTTTTCCTGGGATGAAACCAGACTGCATTTTCCTGTGCCTAGCTCTTTATGAAAAAAATCATGGTGTCCAGGCTTTATATGGGAAAAAACCCCAACGGTTCCCAGCATCTGGACTACACTAGAAGGAAGCACGCTGCATTCTTATTCATGCCCTGCTCATCCAGATCTGGCTACCAACACTATATGGGGCACTGTCAAAACCATCAGTCCCCTAGGCCAAACATAGCCACACTTAAAATTCAAGATTGCTCTGGACACATTTAACACCTTGCTATTCCCAAGTTTCCCACAAGGCATCTAATGTTTTTATATTGCTCTCCCTCATCAGCTATCCTGATAATCCGTGGTCCAAGATACCAGTGTCGAAAATACTAATTCCTGAACAGCAGCTTTTGTGCTTTGCAGCTTGCATTTCAAAATGGCTGTTCCCTGCTTGATGATAATACTAGCGTAATTAACATTTAAGGCAGTTAAATTTTCGTTAGTGAGTAGAGGCTCAATCTGGCACTTGAAATCTTGCCCTTGGAGCCCAGGAGAGTTAGAGCATTGGTTTCTGAGACAAAACAGTGTCCCATTTCTTCTATGCAATTAAAAATAACCACTGAGTTTTAGATAATAATAGAGGTCAAAATACCCAAGTGCTAGTGAAAATACTTAACCACACACAAATGGTACATATTTAAAAGGCCTTAGAGACTGGCATGTTATGCAAACCAATCAAGCTCTCATGGTTTACTCTGCAACTAAAACATCTCAAGCAGAAGTACAATTTGTGTACAGGCCATATATAAAAACGCAGATGGCTACAGGTAAACACACTAAGTTAATGCTGGTTAGCATTCACTCAGATGTTACTCCACTGTTCTCAAAGTACTTTGCAACTATTGATTAACCTGTTTAATAAAGGAAGGATATCTCCAGCTTGTACTTATTTTTACAAAGGGTAAAGTACGACAGAAGACGAAGGCTGTAACCAGAAATGGAAAGGCAGGATCTGGGGCCCCAGTCTTTTAATTTCTAGATAGCTCACCTTGTCATTAAATAGAGTCATGTATGGACAACAAACATAAACTGTAATTGGGATTTCTCCAATTAAACAAATCAATTGAAAAAAGCTAGATGCGTATTTTCAAGGCTGGAAAAGAAAATTATTTCAGGATACTAAACAAGCAACTGCATGAAATTTAGCTTTCTTATTGAGTTCTGAGATCTTAAAGAACTCAAAATTTTGAAGTCTTGACTAGGTTCAGAAGCATTTTCTAAAGGACTGGCTTCATGATGCAAGGGCAAAAAATATTGACCACAGAAAGTTTACCAAAATTCTGTAGTTTTTGAGAGATTGTATCATTATGACATAGAAGGAAAGTGAGATTGATTTCCCAGAGAGGCTATGACAAACCTCTCGTTTCAGGGTGAATGAAGTATAGAAACAAAAAGAAATGCTAAAGAACAGTAGTCATGAGTAGGCACAGACTTGTACTACAGCCTTCAATCTAGCAGGCAGATACTTTAACCCACACAAAACAGCTGTTTCTCTTCCTGAGTTTTCTGACTGGTGGGCTGGCTGATGTGACTCTGTTACTTCTGCATCTGCTGACAGACTAATGAAGAGTGACTTATTATTGCTATTATTGTTGTTGCTGTTTCCACTGGACATGACATCAATTAGCATGGAAACATCATTCAGCATTGCATCATAACAAGCAAAAAACCCAGTTTGGCTGGAAGACTTTCACCAAGACTTTCTCCCATATGGAGTAAGCAAAGATCTTCAAAAGACCTTACAACACTCATCTTCCAGGACCGTAAGGGGGTGGGAGATTGAGTTAGCAAAACTGTGAGACATGCAGTGGGGAAGTTCAGATATAACCTGAAGATGCCTAAAAGATGGAAAGCAATCTTTTTTCATGACGAATAGGTCATGCCAGATAGCTTAGACAACTTGTGTAAAATGACAGGATTAGCGCACAATGGGAATGCGGCAGATCTGATTTTACAGAAACATTATTTATGGGTTAGTGGGTGGACAAAGGTTTTCTTGACAGATTTTTACAGATCTAATCATACACAGAAAGTTCAAATGGTTTCCTTTAGCCTCCACTTAGTGCTAATTTAATTTATCTAGGCTTTAATGAGACTTTTGGTACTCTACTGCCTGGAAAATTATTACTGACACTGGAAATATGGTGCCTGGTTACGAATACTGCAATGAAGATATGAAGTTGCCAGACATATTGTAAACAGAGCATAATTACAGTATTTACAGTTGAACATCAAAATGGGAAGAGATGCCAAGTGGCATTTCTCAGAAGTTAATATTGGGACTGATACCATCTAATATCTTCCCTAATAATTTGGAAAATGAAGTAAATTGTGCGTTGATTGAATACACAGTAGACAGAAGAGGAAGATGAACTACAACACAGCAGGTGGGTAGGTTGAAAAAAAACCCAGAAAGATCTGGAGATCTAAGAGGGAGAGAGAGAAGGGTGCATTCAAGAGGGAAGCTATTTAATGTAGACAAATGTAGAATAATAAGCTCAGAGAAAATTAACACCCATCTCAAGTAACCAAATGGGAAAATGCCAATTTTCATTAAAAAAAAAATCCAAGAGATTTCACAGTTTATTCACACTGAAAATTCACATTGGGGTATATGCATCAGGTTTGACAACTTGTTTGCTACATTCCAGCCTGATGTGATTTTAAAAGGAAGAATAACAGATTCCCTTAAAAACCTGCCTTTTAAAATAATTTTTTACTATTTTAAATGTATACCGAATGTTCATAAAAGACCCAATTCACAGTCCTGTTAGCAGAAATAACATAGTAGTAATGTAACCTAAGTAAGAAACACAGAAGCAGCACATATGAGGTCCAAGGTGGAGGTCAGGAAGCCAAAGCCCATCTGTCTCTGATACTGTCGAGGAGTTCTAAGTGTTCACGCTAGGCAATGGAGCAAAATCCGTGAAATACTAGGTTGCCACTGATTTGTTGACTTTAGTCTAGAAGCTCAACCTATACCTTGAGGAAAGCTATTACTGTATAAAAGCAAGCAAGATACTGAGGGATATTAAAAAAAAAAAGCCTAAACAAATACTGAAACAAGTTTGTTGCGTTAAATGACTACTGTATAGACTAATGAACCTCAAATATTATCTGTAGGATGGAAACTGCCAAAAGAATGTACCCCTTGCAATAAAATTTACCTGTAATTATATAAACTCACTAAGTTTAGAAAACATATTTTATGACACAAAAACCCCCTGCATGGACTGTGTTAGAGAACTGCTCCTGCCTGAGAGTTTAAAGAGCACACTATCTTTTTCCCATAATTGTTTGTTTAACAATACCCATAGTACGAGTACATTATTTTGTCACAGGAATGATTCATTACAAGAAAATATAAAAACTTTATCAAACTGAGTATTACTTTTCTTCCTAACACAGCAATCCAAATATAGCTGATGCATACCAAATGGCTGATGTGATAGCAATCAACAGTATTTTTTTTATGTATGCTTAAAAACCTGCTTACCAAGGGGAGCCATATATTCTGAATCCCCTCACCGTCACTTCAGAGTCTTGAAGATAGATGCAGTTTGTTAGAAGAGACTGTACATTTTCATAGCTCTCTGGCTTCAGCTTAGAAACAGAGGGGAAATAGTAAAAGTCCTGCTTGATTAAGTCAGCCATGAATTCCTGGTCAAAGGTCAATTCATGATTTCCTGCTATCACAATCTTGTATTCATAGGGCAGGCTACCTAAAACAGTGAAAAACAAACAAATTACTTGTTTTATGGAAAATCGGATAAAAGAAAACAGACAGACTCACAAACTATTTTCAATTCCTATAATATGCTCACATACTTGAAACCATCGAGCATATCCCTATTATGTGTTACTGCAATTCCTGGTGATTTCAGGTAAATGACATTACTGTCTTTTTCAGGGCACACTATGATTTAGCACGCTTAGCATTAATGTGTTGAAACTACTTTCAACTCATCAACCTTAAAAACCAGTCTGCAGACTTCGGCTCTACTATTTACTTCTAGTTAATTGCCATTTATGCTGCAAGTATCACTTACTGTGACAGTGATGATAACTCTTTGACAGAAATTAGGGTTCAAAGAAGATTGGCCATAATGCTTCATACATAATGTCAGCTCTATTCTCCCAGAGCTGTGGTCTTTATCAACATGTACTGAGGAGGTCTTACAGACTCAGCACTTGGGTCTGCTGTCCTCTTTGCCCTGACATTAAGATCAAGCCCTCAAGCAAGATGGGAATTGGGTTTAGCTATCAAAACTCCACATCCCACAGAGAAGTCTCACAGTTTGTCTCTATCCCGTGTTTTTTCCTGCTCCATTTTCTCAGTGATTTCCTTAGATCCATGGACTATAATTTAAAGTGACTCATGTTCAAGAATATTTTACAACCCGTATTTAGTGAAAAACCTTTCAACAACCTCCTGCT